TAATCGTTTGCCTCCTGTGTCTCCTATGATGTAGTGCCTGTTAGCTGTGATTATCGGGTGTCATTGGTGTGGGGCGTGTTGTGTAGCTGCTTTTAACAGGCATCTGATGAGGGCTGGAATACTTTAAAAACACCGGGCCCTGAATCATCCTCCCTCGGCTCTGCACTACGGGCCGTCGCGCCCACATAAATGCGACATGTTACATAAACAGCGATCCGGTAACCGTAACTGGAGCCGCACACGTGAGCTTTCAGTGCTGAGAGTCGCTGGGCAGCCTGGGGATGGGCCTCAGCTCTGCTTGGTGTCTGTTGGGGGGGGGGCACCCACAGTCCCTGCTGCTTTCTGCCAAGGTGAACCCAGTAGTTTCTGGTTATGAGTGCGTTGGGCCTGTTTGTGATATAAGCCCGGTTTACCGTCTGCCTGCACTACTTCATGACACAGACAGGGGGCTCCACATGGTCCCGGCCCTTTGGTCTCGATCCTTCTTGTCCCGTGTGTCAAATCACACCATTGGGTAGAGCTGAATGCTGACAGCCTTTTGGGTAAGGCTTTATTCCTTGGGTCTCAGATCTGAGACCTTTCACCAGCATGCCATCTGCTGGGTCAAGACACTGTTAACCCGACCCCCCCCCACCCCCCACCCCTATTCCACTGCGCCCCGCCGCCCTTACAGGCACCCCTGACTCTGCCTGCGGAAGCTTTACCCGCCCTTTTCGAAATTCTCCAAACCGTCTAAAAATACGTTTCCCACAAGCGCTGTGCTATAAAGTATTTATAGATGTCTGCATTCTGCTGTGGCGGCTTTGGCTGCTACTGCTGCTCGCATATCAACGAGCATCGACCGGGCCGCCCCAGACCGTCACCCCCCCCGGGGCCATGCGGGGGTGTTACATAACCTGTAGACCCCCCCCGGCTGCCTTCACGCATCACATCCTCCCGGCTCTGCCTGCAGAGGTACTGAGCTGCTCCGCGCGTCTCCTGGTTGTGAGGCTGCAGATCCAACAGCCTTAAACTGATGTATAATTCACGTCCGCTGGATATTAAAAAATGCAGTCGTATAGGACCGTATCGGTTAATATCGCCGAACACAACTGCCTCTGGGTCCAGAGCAGTGTTCATTTATTATTAAATGTCTGTGTTTATACAGAGAACACATGTATTTGCTCGAGAGAGTGAAAACCAGGGAGTTGTTTCTTTATTTCGCTTTTTTTATTTTTCGTCTGCCGTTATGGTCTATCGTCTGCCTGTTTTCTTTTTGTCTTCAGCTTCGGCAGCTTCAGTTTTGTTCGCACATTGGAGGGGGCTGGGCACTGTGTCCACTTCCAGTGAGAGATCCTCCGACGGGAGGGTCGCTCTATCGAGACGGGGATCCCAGTGCGGCCCATCCTCCCTGCATCCCGTTCCTTCAGCGTTTTCGTCTTTCTTGTCCCTCCGCTGCTGAACTGCATCTTCCTCCTAAATGTCACCTGACTGGGAGAGAACCTACCCCTTTCATGCTGCGTCTCGCAGGGGAAGTTTGTTCTTCTTAAACGCCGACCGCTGTTACTCGCATAAAACAGCATTAGAGGGACACAATGGTCGCTCTGTCCTCTATCTCACCCGGAAGGTTCACTCCCTTTAAAGGATTGAAAAAGCTCTGCTGGGCCGATAGTGGTTGGGGGGCTGCGTTGTAACTACCCTTGATGCCGAGTTGCCATGAAGATGCCGTTCGGAGGCGGCTGTCTGTGTGTGTATCTCTGTGTGAGTGTGGGCATGCTCGCGTGAGGCGGTTCATCTCAGGGACAGCTCTCAGTCACCGCCCCCTAATCCTCTTAGATCACTCAGCCGAACGCTCCCTCGCCTCCTCCCCCATGTGACGCCCGTGGTCCTGCGTCACCAGCGACGTGGTCCTGCCACCTCGATGACAGCCCGGCACGGAGACGCCATGATCCGTCACAGAAAGGGGAGACGTACGTGTCTTCTCTAATCCGGGCCGCCCTCACTGTGGTTTCCCCGGGCAGATCGTTTGTTTGCTGTTAGGACAGGCGGCTGCTTGCTGGTTCTGATCCACTGAGATCCATGGACCGGCGCTGATAGAAGGAGATCGCTGTACACACGCTTCATACATAAATAGGGCAATAAGAGCACCCCTCCCCCACAGACGCAGCATTAATACCACTGGGTGATGTATTTTAAAGTGTATTGTATTTCGACCAATCAAATCTCAGTGATGATCCTCCCTGGCTCTCGTTGCTCTAGTGACGATGGCCTTAGTAGTGCCTTGTTTGGGTCGTTAACTGATTAATCATGTTGCTGCCTTGTCAGTGTGAGCTGTGGTCCACCCTCAGAAGCCTGGGGTACATTTCCCAAAATCTCCCATTAGCGATTTACATATTTAGAGACATTCAGCTGCATGGTTCCAAGTACGAATGTTGCTAAGATAGCAACTATGCTTTTGGGCAGCATTCTACTGGATGATAACATTCATTTGTCCTGGCTGCACTTTACAGAGAACACTGTCTCCTCACCCCTGCCAGGCTGGTGTTGAAATCCTGCCCCCTGCTGTTTGCGTGTTCTCCACTGGGTGCTCCATTTTCCCCTCTTGGTCAAAGAAGATGTGGTTAGGTGAAGTGACCTCTCTAAATTGACCATAATTTATGTGTGATAGAGTGTGCCCTACAATGGACTGACCCATCCAGGGTGTCCCCTGCCTTGTGACCTACGATGGACTGACATGGGTGGAAAGTTACTTTAATTAATTCACCCCTGGTTCCTCCTAAAAAGGAAGAATGAGGCAGAAATGTATCAGACTATAATAACCAAAGTTGAACAGTGGGCCGTTGTTCAGTGTCTGTATGTCAGAAGGTTATAAATAAAGCAAAGTCTCACACAAAATTCCCAATGAGGAAAGAAGCAGCCAGAGTGAGGATCTTGTATAGGGTTTGAAACATTCAGGCCTTTATTGCACACTCCTGTTTGGTTTTTGCTCGGTCCCGTGGCCCGTTACTCAGCGAGGCCCCCGCCTGGCTGGACTCGGGTACGTGTCCTTTACTGTTTTATGTGGCAAAACCTCAAACATGCTTCAGCTCAGCTTCAAATTTGCAAACTACAAATAAATTAAAACACATTCATTTATAACACAACGTGACATTCGAAGACGTTAAATAAAACGAGGACGAAGAAGGAAGAATAACAGA